CATATTATTTAAAATTCAAGATTACAAGTAATTTTGCATAAGTACAACTTATTAAAGCTACATTTTTTAATTCGCATAACTAACTGCAGATAAACATAAACAAATATAAGATAAACATCCATTTTAAATATAGAAAATCTAAAATATAATTAAGATAATCATTGAATTCTAACAGAATGTTTAATTATGATCTTTATAAAAAATTATATTGTTGAACCAAAAATAAAAACATCGCTTTCTCAAAACCACATAAAATCGTATCATCTCTATAGTGACAGAACAAAAATTAAACATTAAAATTAAGATTTATATCGTTGCATTGTGCGAGTACCCTTCTAGTATATTCTTTAAAAGATAATATTTTTTGCTAAAAAGGAACAATTCTTATTTCCTTTTTTCAAAAAACACATATATTTTTTAAATATTAGTGAGATAAGTTGTTTTCTGCTAGTTTTATTAATATTGGTATATTAATGAATAATTTAGAATTTTTTTTAATTCATTGAATATATTTATTAAATAACATGTAAAATATCTAAATATTAAAATTAAAAGTACATTGTTTAATAAGAACTAATAGATACTATAATAAAAATAATTTTAAAAGTACAATGCTGTAATAAGAAAGTCACATCACTATAGTACATGTAGACAACCTACGTGGATAATGAGGTGACGTGGAAACTTGGTATAATGGGTAAATTTAAATCAAAAGGTTACCCAATGTTATAATGTGCAAATTTTTCAAAGTACAATGTTCTAATAAAAAATAGTTTGAAAGTACATTGTTGTAATAAGAAAAATTGAAAGTACAATGCTATAATAAAAAAATTTATGAAAGTAGATTACTATTTTGTGCATTTTGCCTTTATTCTTATTTGACTTAGTTAGAACTTAATTACCATGATTTACTTATTATTATTGTTAAGGCTTAACTAAAGAAAGTAATAGAAAGTGGAGAAGGGGGTCAATATTCAAGGGCATCTGTGACCCTGATTACTACTGATACTACTTCATCAGACACGGGTACAAAATGCATCAATGGCGATATGGCTTGGGAATGTATGGAAAGATCCAACCAAAAAAATAATGTATGGTATGCTTTATGTGATAAAAAAATGAGTAGGCGGATCACTAGGTTGAAAGAACATCTTTACTCACATTAGAAGTAACGTGATTGGTTGTCCTAATGTGAGTAACGACATCAAAAAAAGAGTTCTTGCATCAATTAGTGAAAAGAATAAGAAAAAAAAATAGAAATGTAGAAATCCTCCGAGAATATTCGGTTGAAGTTGATGATATTGATGAGGGTGAGCAAGAAGTAGATGGAATATAAATTATCAAAGGAGGAAGAACACAAGCTAGAATGCCACCTCGTAGTTTGAAAAGAAAGCCCGCTAGTGATGTTTGTGGGCTTTTTGATGCAATGTTGAAGCCCAATTATGCCAAGATAAAACAAGTCACTTTAGATAAAAAAAATCCAATCAAAGAGAAGTTAAAGATGGCCGCTTGGAAAGAATTTACGGTTTGGGCATATTCGCTTGGTTGCCGTTCAATGTCGTGCATGATGAAAACTTTCAAAAGTTCATAAATGCGGTTGGAGAGTATGGAAGAGTAATTGCCCCTTCAAATTTTGAATATATTTCTCAAAGATTTCTTTCGTTCACATTGAAAGAAGAGTAAATGCACTATTATGTCCGATTTTTGGACAGATGGGAAAGGGAGAAGCTTGATTAATTTATTGGTCAATTGTCCACAAGGAACAATATTTTTTAAATCAATTGATGCATTCGAAGCATGTGAAAGATGCTCAATTAATTGTACAGATTATCAATGAGGTTATAGAGGAAGTCAGAGAGGAGAACATCATGCAGGTAACAAATATGTTTCTATATTAAGTATTAACATTATTCAGCATATATATAGGGGCCTAATCAATTTAGAACTAATTAGTTTATGGTAATCGTGATGTCCAATCTCAACCACAAATCAAGAGATAATTAGAGAATTTATAATTTTGGTAATTTTGAATTAAAATTTTAATGTAAGAACATTTTAGGTATAATCTCTTCCCTCTCCTCTCTTCTATCTCCGTCCCCCCAGCCTCCGTCCTCCGGTGATACAACAGTGGTATCACAATGCATCTTATATGTGCTTGGGTATCACACTGTGTCTTTTGTTTAACAAAGTCAATATTTTTAGGTATCACCGGAGGATGGTGGCCGGAGAACAGAGGAAGAGAGACGGAGAGAGAAGAGAGGAGAGAGAAGAGAAAATAACTAAAATGTCCTTACATTAAAATTTTAATTCAAAATTACCAAAATTATAGATTTCCTAATTTATCTATTGATTTGTGGTTAAGATTGGATCTCACGGTTATTACAAACTAGTCAGTTTTCCTAATTTATATATATATATATATATATATATATATATATTGACTAATTGTTTTTTGCTTATACTAGTTTGTCACCGATAATGGGTCCAACTTTAAAGTTGCGGGAAAAATCTTGGAATAACAACATCCTTAGATGTTTTGGACACCATGCACAGCACATCGTGTGAATCTTATGATAGGAGATGTCGGAGAAAAAATTCCAAAGATTAAAAGTGTGTTAGTTGATGCAAGAGCGGTAGTGGTTTATATCTATAACCATGGAAAGATTGTGAATATGATGCAAAAGCTTAATAAAAATAAGGAATTGCATAGGTCTTGTGTTACAAGGTTCGCAACACAATCCTACACCATTCAAAGCATTCATGAGAACCGGCATCATCTCCAAGTGCTATTTGTTTCTGAATAATGGAGGAAGAGAACTTTGCCAAGAAAGCCATCTAAAAAAGAATTGAACAAATAATAGCTAAGCAAGAGTTTTGGGACAATATTTATCTTGCTTCTTAGATATTGGCACTGTTGGTTGATGTTGTTCGGTTGGTTGATACCAAGGAGAAGCCGTGTAAGGGTTATATATACGATGTTATGGAAAGAGCTAAAGATCAAATCAAGAACAACTTGATTAGCACCGTTCACAAAAGACTAATCATTAAAGTGTGGTCAATGATTCAAGCACGATGGAATGACCAACTTCATCATCTTTTGCATGCCGGTATAATTTATAAAACATTGCTATGTTTTATTTATTTAATTTTTAAAGTTAATACAATTATTTGAATAAATTTTTAGTACATTTATAGTCGGATATTAACTCAACCCCGCCATTTATTATGCACAAGATTCAAAAGTTGAGAATAATAGATATATTAAGACGAGACTATACGAGACAATTGACCAACTTGTGCGTGATGAAGAAAGAAATGATACTTTACGGATGGAACTCAATCAATATGTCGAGACATCAGGACAATTTGGATCAGCGGCTACCATAAGGAATAGAGCTAAAGTAGCACCAATAAGTATGATAATAGGATATGATATATACTAAAGGGTACTCAGCGAGATACATTTCGATTTTTATATTTCATTTTAGGCTCTCCCCTTGTCGATGTTATAATACGGTTTTATGTGGTTTTGAGAAAAACGATAATGTTATTATTTTTGAATAAAATATAAATTTGAAAATATCTTAAATTTTTTAAAAAACATATCGGTATTAGTATCAAATTAACTATTTAAAAATCTTGTTTTGTTGTGTAATTTCTTTAATTCAACTTTTTTTATTATAATTTAATTTAGGTTTAATAAGAAAATAA